GCTGTCACTCACAAGTTGAAATGAAGTGCTGTGTTATAGTTTGTCTTTGAATAAAGGACTCGACTAGAAAACAGTGGAAGTTATTTATCATTTTTTTAAGTAAAAAAAACTACTACTTTGGAATCACTGCATCACATCCCATTATCCCAAGTTATCTAGATGCAGTCCAACTTTTGCTTCATTAAGACTCTCAGATTACTAATTGTAAATTAATTCCTAGTCAGACAGATTCTGGTCTCTGAGAAAACATACTGAGTGCTAATGATTGCAGTCAGTCCGTCACCCGCACAGGTTTTATATAAAATGGTAACTCTGAGCTATCAGCTGAATTAAAATACTTTTCTCATTGGATCATTTTGCACTCTGCATCACCTACCTATTGCAGTGATTCACAGTTTGTGACTTGTATCAGAGCAAAAAGGGGCCAAGCAGAGCTCAGCGATTTATTGATGTGAAAAGCTGCTGCTGCTGAACAGTAGGAAGTTGTTAGCTTTGAAGGCCGAGAGCAAAGTGCCGGCATGCCTGAACTCCGAGGACAATAACAATTTCAATCCATGATCTTTGCAGAAATGGCAGGTTGTCAGGTTTAAACTCTTGCTGTGCCATCTCATGTGGGGGCTGCAGATGGACATGTATTTTTGATATACTTCCATTGTCCTCAGGTTTGTAGCCACTTTGTAACAAATTGCTAGTGAGGTGCTGGACATGGTGCAAGGAAAAATGATCGAAGGGGAAGGAAATATACCTTTCAGCTGCATGCAGACAGACATGACAGGACACACAGTCAGACAGAAATTCAGCAAAGCAGTCAAACACCAAGAATGATGCTGTACAGACAGACCTAAAAACAGCTGATCAAAGTTATGTCCCCAAAACTGTTTTCCACCTACAGCATGTTGCCTTATTGCTGTTTCATCCTTGTGTCATTTTATAAGAGGAGTGTTGACAGTTTGAAGCTTCTAGGGGAGCAGAGGTGACATGTGGATCTGCTGTAGATGACAGGAGGAGGAGAAATGAAGAACTAGAGAGAAAGAAAACGTACAGACTTGTCAACACACAAAGAAATAAAAAAAAAAGGCTGGGACAAAGAGGACAGGCACAGGAATATTTGTTCTGAGAGTGCTAGCTTTGATTCCCACATGCTTTGACACTGATTGCTTGTGATATTAGCGACACAGCACACAAACTTGAGATGTAAAAAAAAAGAATGCCGTGCAACATTTATATGTTTTCAGGAGGCACAGCGTCCAGACAGAAGGGCTTCCGGGGCTGTATTCGCTCTCTGCAGCTGAACGGCGTCACCCTGGACCTGGAGGAGAGAGCGAGGATCACACCCGGGGTTCGACCCGGCTGCCCGGGTCACTGCAGTAGCTACGGCTCGTTCTGCCAGAATGGGGGCCGCTGTGTGGAGAGAGCCAACGGCTTCCACTGTGATTGCGGCCTGTCTGCGTACACTGGGGTCTTCTGCCACACAGGTACACACATATACACACTGTAGAGGAGTAGGCAAGTTATACTGTCATAATAACCAATGTCTATATGTTGGTAAAGATTTCCTTTGGTTTGAGAATCGTCTCACTTTGTAGGTAATTTTGAGGTATTTAGAATTTAAAAAAAATCTATTTGAAAGAGAAATGCAATTAAAATATCACTTTTCTATTGGGCCAACATAAAAACTGAAGGATTTATAAATTAAGCTTAAAGGTGCCCCCAGTTTTCAGTTTGCATTCAGTGTTACTCACTAAAACGTATTGTCTGTATCATTGAGAAATGTGTTGAATGCATGTACTTCCTCATAGAATTTATAAAGCTAAAAATATTTTAAATCCTTTACATCGTTTACATCCATGTTTACTTGCCAGCAGTCATCTTCTTCACTCCCTTTGTTGCCTTTTGGCTGCATTTCTTTGCATCTTACCACAACCAGTTGTCAATGTACGAAATATACTACAACATATCCCATGTGTATCATGTCGCCAGCCTGCTCGCACAATTGTGTGACCTTCTTCATGTTACAAACACACCCTTGCTCTATAGTACATCTATAGTGGTGAAAGACTCCACAGGGTATCTTTATAAAGCTGACGCTATTAAAGGAGGTTTATTCTGTTATATTTTTTTCTTTGGCTCAAACATTAATGGTACCACCTACCTTGACCTCTCTCTATGAGACCCGTCTACCCACTTTACAACATGCTGCTGAGTGTCACGTCATGCCTCCATCCCCTCCACTTTGCTTCACATTTACTGTAGTTGACTCATATATCTCAACATCCGAGGTTAAGGCTGCTTCGATGTATGGCGTCGGCTTCCTTTAGGAGCAGAATGAAAGAGTTGACACAGGAAATTGTCTGAGCAGAGGCCTTCATTCTGGAGATTGACCCTGCACGTCTGTTTCTCCATACAGATAACGTCTAATAAGTCATTGAGTGCATTGAGGCAGATATTTCTATAAGACCCTTGTAGGATATATTCTCATGAGGTTCTTTACAAAACTCAAAGGAGGGAAATATAAATGCAAATAAACATAAGAGACAGAGACTGTTGTTTAGAACAGTCATGGTTGTTTTTCTGCTGCTTTTTAAAGTTTAAGAATCTATATAATTCCAGTGAACCTTTTACTACACTTAACCAAGTGTATTCACTCACCAATAAGTATATGTGACATCAAAGGTTTCATGCAAATAGTGTCCGTTTGATGTGTTGGAGTCTGTTTATGTCATTTGTTTGATTTTAAATTCATTGCACTAATAATTCGTCATCACATTTTACTTTATGTCCGGGTTCAGTAACTTAGAGCACTCTCTTCGCCCTCTCCCCAACCACTGCTGGTATCTACTGTACTTATCTGCATCTACGACAGTAGGCCGAGGCACAGAAAGTGCTTTGCTTTAAAGCATTTGTGAAATCCTCCATTGATATACTGTAGTTGAGTTTAATGTCAGGAAATGGATATAAACTTGTTAAACATTGTTTTAGAGTGTTTCTCTTGCTTCTGTGCTGGTATATTGAGAACTGCATGGGGATGCCAGAGTTGTTTAGATGCTGCAAATGACCCTGAGCATTTCATTATTCATTATTACAATATTGAAACAAAGTGAGAAGTTACTGTAAATATATGAATTGTGCTCTGCTAGGGAAACAATTATTCTACTGGAGGAAAAACAACAGAGATGCTACAAATTGAAATAAATGGTGTCCATGCAGTATATAAAAAAAGTCAATGCATTCCACTTCCAAGAAATCTATCAATAAAACTAAACTAAAGTAATAAACAGCGGCAAAATACTTTGCTGCTATTGGGGTTGTGAATCACAGCAGCAGTTTAATCCTACAGAATTTCTGTTTTTGTTCAGAAACGGTTCCTGAAAGTTAGAATTACAGGGGTTGAACACATATATTGATTTAATATCTGTAAACTTATGGGGCTGTTATTTTGGATTGCATAATAGTGTTTTTTTGGGCCAATAAAGCCTGTGCATTACAGCCTGTCTCTGGCTGACTCAACCAACTGCTCACACACGAACAGTACAAAAAGACTAGTTTAATTTTTTATGACACAAAGTGTTTTTTACCCTCAGTACATTTTCTTGTTCTTATTGTTTTGTTTCTTTTTCAATGGTAAATTAACCTTTCTGGTGTACACACCACTCAAAGCACTTTACAACGCTTGCCACATTCACCCATTCACTCACACATTCATACAGTGACGGCAGAGACCCGCTGCTCAACAGGAGCGATACAGCACACAATGATACAAAGCTCACCCATACACACAGACTTACACACCAACAGCACAGCCTTCAGGAGCAATTTGTGGTTCAGTATCTTGTCCAAGGACACTGCGATTGGACTGGGGGAGCTCAAATGGGGGATTATTAGAAGACCAGCTCTTCCACCTTTAGGTTTACAGGTTTTCCTGTAACCCCATATTCATAGGTATAAAAGGTGCCCTAATACCTGTTTGGTATTGTTTAAATGAAGTCAAGACAATCAAGACCACCTAAAAAAGGTCTTGGTACACTTCTTTAAAGAGGGAGTTAAATCCCTAAAAACAAGAATCAAGTATCCTCATTGATGAAAAATCAATGGCAGTACTCTTGATCTGAAAAAAAATAAAAAAAAAAGCCTTCATTTGTCTTTTAAGGATCAAGAGTTTTAAGTTTATGGTCCGCATGAGTCAGTTGCCAAAAATGAAAGTATGAATTTTTTCTGGGATATCTTTGATGTTTTGCCAGTGTGACTTATTGTTTTCAAAGAACACTGTGTTTCTATCTTACAAAAGCATCTTTCATTTTTTCTTTCCATTTCTGACATTGCAAAATAAAAGCCTACACTGTAACCTCTCTGTGGCTCATCTCTCCTTCTCCAGAGGTGTCAGCCAGCTTCA